ACCCTGTCTCTACTAAAAATACAAAAATTAGCTGGACATTGTGGCAGATGTCTGTAATCCCAGCTACTTGGGAGGCTGAGGCAGGAGAATTGCTTGAACCTGGGAGGAGGAGGTTGCAATGAGCCGAACCTCCATTGCACTCAAGCCTGGGCACCAAGAGGGAAACTCCATCTCAAAAAAAATAAAAAATAAAATAGAAAATAAAAATGAATGGTTTACAGATTAATTTTCAACTTTCGCCAAAACACTTGAGAGTCCTAGCAAATGACTAGGAGTTGTGTCCAATTACCAGGTTACATACTGTTGCCGAAATTCAGCTCTCTTTCCCAGAGGCGTAATTGATATTATCGGAGATGCATAGCAAATTGGAGATTCAGCTTTTTACCTTTTTAAGAGGATTAAAATAGAATTTGATTGTTTTTAATAAGCTTTTATGAGGTGTGTGTGTGTGTTGGGTATATACATACATAAGTATCTCTGTATATTTTGATACAACTATATCCCCTTTGGATTCTGACAACAAAATGTAATAAATCAATCTGTTGTACACTAACAAATTTAAGGCTTGACCACTCCACACACTCTGGTTTTAGCTCTTACTGGAATCCAACCGTAAATAGCCTTAATTTGATTAAAATTCAGCTGTTATTTTCCTTTTGCTCTGGCCTCTGGTGATAAAATACAAAAAAATCAGCATACTGTTTCATATCACCCACTTTCAAAACTATATGTCAGATATGGTAATAGAAAAACGTCTTTCTATACTGGCATCTACTCCAGTTTTCAAAAGCAAATACACAAAGGACATGTTTCAAGAATGAAAAGATGATATAAGCTAAAATAAATAAGTTCCTTCTAAGACATAAGTAATAATTGCACTGTAAGTTATATAAGCCTCAGTGACAGTACTCTGGCAAAGACATCCATTTATCAGTCAAACCAAGTAATTCCATGTTCTGTGAATGGCAGAATGAGACCAGCTTCAACTGATTTATGAAGTGATTTTTTTACATTCTACTGAATGATTGAGACAAAGGACCCGCAGCAATGGTGGTTCATCTTTTCTGTTCAAGTGCCAGTTCTTTTTATTACTTTTGTTTTGTTTCTAGTAGAGACATGGCTGCCTCATTCGCCACCTGTTAATGTTGAATAAGAAATGTTTAACTCTAGGCTATTCAGTATGAATGGCCCCAAGAAAGTAATCGAGTAGTTTCTATCTTTCTTACATGCTTCCTTGAGTGTCATGTAGAAGAAAATTTTCTGGCCTGAGAGCCAGTGGGGAACAAGTTGTATTCATCTTTGTATATTCTTTTAAGTCCAGCATGATCCCTAGGATCTAGGAGGCACTAAAAAGAAATTGTAGAATCAAGTCGAAATGGCCTCTAAACCTGCTGGACAGGCAGCAAACTGTGATGGGGACAGCAAGGAACCATGATCTCATAATCCTGACTTGGCCACTTATGGGCTAGGTAGATTATGGGCAGACCTTGCCACCTCTTTAGACTCAGTTTGTTCACCTGTCAAATGGTAAAAACCAGTTTCTACCTTATAGGGCTGAAATGGGGATTAAATAATGCAGTGTATGTAAGTTGCCAGTTACCAAAACAAGGAGGATGGGTCAGGCTATCACTAGGTTTAGGTAAGGGGCCGTATCCAAGGAAGAGAATAGCCTAGAAAAATGACACTCTGGCTTTCCCTTCTTCTAACTTTTATATAGGCAAGTGGATTCTAAGTGTTGCTTTAAAAGGCATATACATGACCAGGTGCGGTGGCTCACGCCTGTAATCCCAGGACTTGGTAAGCCAAGGCAGGTGGATCACGAAGTCAGGAGCCAGATCAAGACCATCCTGGCTGACACAATGAAACCCCGTCTCTACTAAAAATAAAAAGAATTGTCTGGCGTAGTGGCATGCACCTCTAGTCCCAGCTACTCGGGAGGCTGAGGCAGGAGAATCGCTTGAACCCGGGAGGCAGATATTGCAGTGAGACAAGATCGTGTGCCACTGCACTCCAGCCTGGAGACAGAGCAAGATTCCATCCCCCCAAAAAAAAGCACATACACACAAAACACACACATGGGTACACACGTGCAACAATCCCAAAAGGCAGCTTGAAACCAAAGGAAATGAAAAGTGGATATAGAGACAAGGTCCATCTGTCAATTTGTCTTGGCCTTAAACACAGGCCTCTAGATCTTGTTTCCCCTCACCCTGCAGCCCCATATCAACTGGGAAAACCCCTTCATCTCCTCCCCACCAGCTGCTACTCAACTCACTGCTTAACCAGTCACCATCACAGCCATATAAAGACTCCCCAGAAAGTCAAGTCAGGGCATCCATCCTAATTTTCTGTTCTTCTCAGTGCTACCACTGCCCCTAGGTGGATCAGTACATAAAGGTACAAAGAGCCTCAGACTAAAGCATGGAGTATCTATTTTATTTGAGGATTTGGACTATAGAGGAATATTTTTATACTAAGACAAGTACAGACATATTATGGAGTAGAATGTAATACTGTCATGATTTTTTTCAGACAAAGTAATGGACGTTAAAGAAAATTCAAGCAAACTGAAAGAGGGCAGAACCCGCGGCTAGGTCCTAAATGCCCTCATTTCCAACTCATGAGTATACATATTTCCTTGCCTTGGTCATTCAGAGTAATTTTCAGACAAAGTCTGAGAAACAGTGCCTAGCAGATTTTCTTAGATGGGCTTCTAAATGTTTCATAAGAAAGTGGGTGTTCTTAGGAAAAAGCTGTGCCTTGAAGGTGGAATCCCACTGCACTAAGCAGTACGCGAATGTCTAATTCATCACAATTGTCATCCAGCTCTACTTTCACTTGCAGATTGATAATATATATTAATAGCATTAATTTTAAAGCAACTTGAAAATCTATCTGGTAAAAATATCACATGTAACCACAAATACCTACTTGGTAAAAATTGCTGAATGCAAATTTTCTCTTTTGGCCCAATTTTATGTGCACTGGTATAATGTTATAGATTCTTTTTTTTTTTTTTTTTTGAGATGGAGTTTCACTCTTGTTGCCCAGGCTGGAGTGCAATGGTGGGTTATCGGCTCACCATAACCTCTGCTTCTCAAGTTTAAGTAATTCTCCTGTCTCTGCTTCTCAAGTAACTGGAATTACAGGTGCCATCACCACACATGGCTAATTTTTGTTTGTTTTTAATGGAGACAGGGTTTTACCATGTTGGCCAGGCTGGTCTCAAACTCCTGACCTCAGGTGATCTGCCCACCTCAGGCTCCCAAAGTGCTGGGGATATGGGTGTGTCACCGCACCTGGCCAATGTTATATATATTCTTAATAAAATAAGTTAAGAAGCTTTCATGTAGCAAACTATTGAGAAGCTACTATGTGCAAATCATTTTGGTTTATACATAGCGAAATAAAATGTGAAGTTTTCTTTCAAGATGTCCACAATCTAAGCACTGTGAAATAGAAATATAATGTCAACCACATGCATAATTTCAAATTTTTGGTAGCCATATTAATAAAAGGTAAAAGAATTAACAGTAATTTTAATAATTCAATTTAATATAATTTTAATAAATTATTTAATAATGTTAATAATTAAACATTAATTTCAATAATTTCAGTAATATATTTATTTAACACAGTGAGTCTGAAATGTGATTATTTCAATATATAATCAACAAAAAAGTATTATTAAGACATTTTACCTTCTTTTATCATAGTGAGACTTCAAAATGTACTTTACACTTGCAATACATCTCAATCTGGACTAGCCATATTTCAAATGATCAAAAGCCACATGTGACTAGTGGTTACTATACTGGACAGCACAGAAATGAATCATTAATAAATACTGATTACACACATAATTTAAAATTTTCAGCTGCCATACTAGTTCCTGAAAATACAATGGTAAATGAAAGGTCATCCCTGTCCTCCCAGAGCACACATTCTGACAACGATGACAAAGAATAAGTAAAAGGTAGTTATAGTAGAAATGGTGAGTGTTATGATAAAGGAATCAAGCAAAGGAGTGGAGTAGAAGCTGCTGGGTGGGAATGGGGTTGAGAACCTGGTAAGGGATGGGGTAAAATGTTCTGTATTAGTCCGTTCTCACACTGCTAGGAAATCATACCTGAGAATAGGTAATTTATGAAGAAAAGAGAAACTCACAGTTCTGCAGGCTGTACAGGAGGTGTGGTGGAGGAAGCCTCAATAAACTTACAATTATAGTAGAGGGCAAAGGGGAAGCAAGTGCATCTTCACATGGTGACAGGAGAGAGAAAGAGAGAGAGAGAGAGCAACGGGGAAAATGCCACACACTTAAATAATCAGACCTCATGAGAACTCACTCACCATCAATAGAACAGTAAGGGGGAAATCCGTCCCCTTGATCCAATCGCCTCCCACTAGGTCCCTCTCCCAATATTGGGAATTACAACTCAATGTGAGATTTGGGTAGGGACACAGAGCCAAATTACATAACCATATTAGGCTCTATTTTATTTTATTTATTTTTTTATTGCATTTTAGGTTTTGGGGTACATGTGCAGAACATGCAAGATAGTTGCATAGGTACACACATGGCAGTGTGATTTGCTGCCTTCCTCCCCTTCACCCACATCTGGCATTTCTCCCCATGCTATCCCTCCCCAACTCCCCCCACCACTGTCCCTCCTGTATTTCCCCCAATAGACCCCAGTGTTTAGTGCTCCCTTCCCTGTGTCCATGTGTTCTCATTGTTCATCACCGCCTATGAGTGAGAACACGTGGTATTTCATTTTCTGTTCTTGTGTCAGTTTGCTGAGAATGATATTCTCCAGATTCATCCATGTCCTTACAAAGGACACCAACTCATCATTTTTGATTGCTGCATAATGGAGTGGCTAGGGGAAGGTATCTCTGAAAAGAAAGCATTTAAAGCAGAGAACTTGCATTAATTTTGTATTGCTGTTGTAAGAAATAACCAGAAACTTCATGGCTTAAAAACCACACAAATTGATTACCTTGTAGTTCCAGAGGCCAGAAGTCTGAAATGGGTCTTATGGGGCTGAAGTCAAGATGCTGGCAGGGCTACATTTCTATGCAGACTCTAGAAGAGGACCCATTCCTTGCCTTTTCAGTGTCTAGAGGCTGCCTGCAGCCCTCAGCTCATCACCACCTTTGTCTTCAAAGCCAACAGGCTCCTCAACCCAGCTTCTACTTTCCACATATCGTTTGCTGACTGACTCTCCTCCCTCCCTCTTTTGCTGATAATGACTATTATGATTAAACTTGGCTCAACTGAATAATCCAGGTGTATCTCTTCATCTCAAGACCCTTGACTTAATCACATCTACAAAGTTCCTTTTCCCATGTAAGGTGATGTATTCACCAATTCCTGGAAATTAGGACAGGAACATCTTTGGGAGGCTACCATCTGCCTGTCACAGACCTGAAGGATACAAAGAGTGAGAAAGGAGTGTTTCTATCTAGTCTCTAGAGTAGGAAAGAATTTGGCAAATTCGAGGGACTGAAGGAAGATCCATATTACAGAAGTACAGAAAGCAGGGATGAGAATGGTGCGAGACAAGGCTGGGAACAGAGTAGAGGCCAGAACACAGAGGACCTCTTAGGCCATGCTAAAGAATTTGAGTCCATTCTATTACAATGAACTCAAATTCTTTGAGGAGCTAGTGGAGGATTTTAAGCAGTAGAGTCAAATCATCTAGACCATGTAATAATTGAATCGGTCTGGCTGCTGGAGAAGAATGAGTCAAAGTGGAACATTAATGAAAGTAAGAAGACCAGTGAGGACTGATGCCAAACCATTCAAGACAATGGCAGTAGATATGGGCAGAAGCAGCCCCATTGATTATAGTGCTGGCCATAAAGGTTAGCTATTTATCAAAACTTGAACTGTAGGATGCATTTTATTGCATGCAACTTTTTAAATATAAAATTATGAAGTTATAGTTTTTTTCTCTTTTATGAAAAGAAGTAAAGACTTCTAGCTTCATGAGTTTAAAGAGCAACCTGTTTTTATAGCCTTATTTCCAATGGGTATTAGTCGGTTTTCACACTGCTGATAAAGACATATCTAAGACTGGGAAGAAAAAGAGGTTTAACGGATTTACAGTTCCACATAGCTGGGGAGGCCTCACAATCATGGCGGAAGGCAAAGAAGAGCAAGTCACATCTTACATGGATAGTGGCAGGCAAATAGAGAGTTTGTGCAGGGAAACTCTGTTTTTAAAAACCATCAGCTCTCATGAGACTTATTCACTATTGTGAGAAAAGCACGGGAAAGATCTGCCCCCATGATTCAATTACCTCCCACTGGGTTCCTCCCACAACACATAGGAATTCAAGGTGAGATCTTGGTGGGAACATAGCTAAACCATATCACCACGGCACATTGTACATAATACTGTGATGGCGTTCATCTCATTCCACCAACCTACTTGTCCTTCCCTTCCCTTAGAGCTCAATATTGTACCAGGTTATCATCCAATCTCATCTTGGGACAAAAACTATTGGACTCACCTTCATCAAATTCTACAAACAACTATTGAATGTCTGCAACATAGATTATACTGTGTAGGCATCAGGGACCAAATGGTCAGCAAAAGCAGACAAAATCCTTATGCTAATACAGTGTAGAGTTTAGTGGGAAAGATTGGCTTTGATCAAATGACCATTCTTACCTATAAAATTATTTTCAGTTATAAGAATTATGAAGATTGTTGTGCTTTGAGAATCTATAGTAAAGTATTAGCGAGTCATGGAACATTCCCCTGAAGAAGTAAGGCAGGTTCTAAGATCTGAAGGACAAATAGGACCTAACAAGATCAAAGCAAAGAAAGAAAACAGTGCAGTCAAAGGGAATCATATATACCAAGGCCGTAAGGCAGGGGAGAAAAAGACAATTTGCTCCATGAACTGAAGGCCACTGTGGCTGGAACATGGAAAGCTCTATGCAGAAATGATCCCCTTATTCATCGGGCCACTCTCTTGAGCAAAAATGAATATGATCCTGTTTACATAGTAAAACCCATACTGATAATATTGGCCACTATTAATAGGGCACTTACTATGTACTAGTCAGTATTTAAAATATTTTATATGCATTAAGTCATTGAATCCTCACAACAGTCCTATTAAGGAAATGTTGCTATTATTCCTCCACTTTACAAATGAGAAAACTGAGACACAGGGATAGGTAGCACGCACACATTGTAGAGCTCAGATTTGAAACAAGTATTCTAAACCTTATGCTCCTCCTTCCTCACACTCACGTCTCACATATTGAAGGCAGCCTGTCCCCACCTGGCAATTGTGTTAGGTAGTTCTGGGAGTCTCTAGCACAGCTTTCCCTGGGGAGAAGCTGATGACCAGGAACTGTCATTAACAGTCATCAGTGGGTTCAGCAGTTCCTAAGTAGTGTCTAATTAGAGGTAAGAATGATTCGTTGGAAGAAGGTAAGAAGCACAAATTCATCAGGGCAAGGTTCTAGTCACCCTAGAAATCTACAGTGGGTACTGACAGAGAGCTCAGGGGCGGAGGCAAATCGTCAACACTTGACTTAGTTTCTATCTTTGAGAAAGGTAGCCAGCATCTTTATTAAATTGCTGAGAAGAGGATATGCCACAGGACAAAAAAAGATGTAGAAAAATCACCACACTTGGCAGGCAAGAGACCCTGCTCCTTGTGGCAGCTCTGCCTCAGGCAGAGAATTAACATTGACCTCGGGCAGACAATTAACATTCCCAGGCTTTTGGTTTGTAAAATGAGAGGACTGGAACAAGTGGTCCCTGCAGCCTCTCATTGCCTCTGGAGTTACCGAGGAATTAAAATTTGCTCCTCTCCTATGTTTCTGAAGGAATAGACTTAAAGGGAAGAAATATTCCTAAACAATAGATAGCCCAGGCCCTTCATGCTGGAGGAATTTTGATACATTAATTACATAAGTAAGTAAATTCAAACAAATGAAAGAGAAATTCTGCAAACCTTTGCAAAACATGAAGATTTTTATTAAGATGACCTCAACTTGCAGCAATATGCAATTATGAAGGAAGTGCAAACATCTATTTTTCCCAATGCTCCAGGTCCCCCCAAATTTGCATTTGCCTCCTTCTTTCCTCCACCTTATTAACTGTACAAATAAGGGGCACACTAAACATTTAAGTGTGCAAATTTTAAAAATAATGAATAGTCTATGCTTCTTTTGTGTTCCATTGTAATAAAATCTATTGTTCCATCCATCAGTCTCATTAGAGTAGGTTTTGACCTATACTAAAAAAACCACTCAAATATTCAAGCTCATCTGGCAAATGAGGGGCCTCAGAAGGACAATTGCCACTGTTTTCTCCCCCATCAAATATTCTATGATTCTCCATGGAAATGATGTTAATAGATCAGCAGCACTGTGGTTTTACACAAAGGGTAGGACCTCATCGGCAAGCCAGAAGCCTAGAAGTTGGACATATCTCGGTGAATACAGAAAAATCATCTCATGATTAATGATATGTTTTCCTAATCAAGAAAAAATTTTAAGAAAGAACTTAGAAGTCTCATGGTTTGTCTCATTCCCAAAATACAAGATCTAGAAAAATGCTGTTACCAAGCATCTTGACGTAGCTTTTCTGGTGTTAAAAAACAACAATAACAACAAAAAACGTATTGCTGAAAGCAGAGAGCCACTGCAGAAGTTACCTCCCAATCAGCTCTTCAACAGGTTAAATTGCAGGCATGTGAAATGAAAGCACCAAGACTTTGATTATGTGTAGATTATAATTGTGTTTTAAATGTGGGGCCACATCTGGCCATTATTTAAAAATACGTTCATTCAAACAGTAAGTCCTTTAAAAAATTCTTATTGGGTACTGGATTCCAAGATAGGGTTCCATATGTTTTCTATACTTTACCATTGCCAAGGTGTCGGACCATGTTTTATCTGCTATTTCCAAAATGAAGGCAATGAGTAATTGAATCAATATATTAAGTGAATATAAATAAAGTAAACAGTTGATTCATGTATTTCTAGCAGAATGCAACAAGCAACCTCTTGGACCAGACAATTCTATTGATTTTTTTCTTAGTCTTGTTTATTCCATGTCATTACTTAAACCAAATAGCAAACCAAGCAGTTATAACCTTCTGTTATTGAACAAAAAAAAAAATGCTACATAGGAAAGAATATGTTAAGAAAGAAATTAATAGCAGATTAATACATTTATCAATGTAGGAAAATATTGTCAAACTAAATAACAGAAAAGGACACTCTCTAAAATAAAATAATATTTACTCTAGAATGGGTATTGCAATGAGGAATAAGCATGCCATAGTAAATTGTGTGCATCTGCAGGGAGGTAAAACAAGACAAAGCTTTTTAAAGAAAATGAGGATTGTATAATAGTTTAAGATAATTATCCTTGACTACAAGGATCAATAACAAGGGTGGCGCCAGTACGAGGTTAGATCAGCAGTTGCTGAGCAGATGTCCCTGCAGAAGTATTTTTGTGTGTGTGTAAGGTTGCAATGGCTTTTTTTGCAGTCTTTTGTGGTAGTTCTTGTTATCAGACATGCATGATGAAAACACACTCTGCATGGCCTTTTCCAACTCTATTTGTCAGGGTTTTTAACACAAGTGACTCCATTTTGATTCTGACAATTTTCACAATATTTACAGATGATCATTTAATAATCACTCGAGAGAGAGATGTAGATTTCTTTCCAGTTTACTGAATTCTTCCCTTTTAAGTTGCCACAGAAATCTATGTGCTGATGGAAGCTCTGTGTGTGACACTTAGGCCCACAGACACTCATGTGATTCTAGAAAATGTCTCAAAGAAGGGACCTGGAGTTTCATCCCTTGTCACTCCTGCAGTTTAGTTAAACAGTGATGGCCGAGCACAGCCAGTTGCAATCCATTTGGTTATGATTCTTCTGCTTCATCATCAATCCAAGAATTGACCTAGTTGTAGAAATTCAGGTCTAGTCAATTCTCCTAAATATCTAAGATGTGCACAACAACTTCAGTTCCTCCAACAAGGGTTAAGCTTCGCCTCTTCTCTGTGTGTTTTTATACATTATGTATCTGCACTTTTGCATTAAGTGGTTATAATTAATATAATTTTGTTGGAGGCTAACTAAAATAAAAAGCCTTATCAATTAAGAATGCATAA